TCATGAGCTGTATGCCATAATCATCAGTATTAAAACAATTAAAGACCTGAAATATTTCAGTTGGTGTGCAATGAATCTGAAATATATGAAAGTTTCATTTTTATTATTACAATATGGAAAATAATGACCTTTATCACAATATGCTAATTTTTTGAGAAGGACCTGTATAATCATACCTCTGCCTGCTGCAGACAAGGGATAGAGGACGACCTGAAGAAGTGGCTGCAGATTACATCTACTAGCATATTTAACTACTTCATTGACTCTGTTCTTCCGACAGTGAAGCAATGAACAACCTGAAAAGCTCTGAGGTGTATTAGTATCTACACAGTAATAAGGTCCGTCCCGTTTTGTTAAAAGAGTTGAGACACAATCTTATTGACCTTAAAGCAGACATGGAGCCCAAAGCCTCAAAGTCCTCCATCACTGAGCTTGGGTTAATTGCAGAGAAAAATCGTAATACCGAAGACAAACTATAAAGCTGTGCCCTCCATCCACCTGAAATCATACCTGATATTCTTGTCGCACTGTTTTCAGTCCTTTTGCGGATCCTGCATCTTTTTTCCGGTGGTTTATTGTAGTCCAGACACAAAGTAGGATGCAGGTTTTCCTCCATCGGCCATTGCTCAATAAAGTGAGATGAGCACACATACAGCATTTTGCGTGGTCTCTTCAAGTTCACATTTTTTCAGCCACATTTTTCTTAATTTCTCATCTGTAGGTAGGAGATGGAAACTATACCTCTTTTCACAGGAACACGCTTTGTTTTGGTTCCATGTTTAAAACTTTGTTGTTGTAGCCTCTGATTTAGTTTGGTCCGGTTCTTCTGCAGCCTCGAACACAACAGGTACCTGAACTCAGCACGGCTATTTTAGTAAACTTTATGGTTGTTAATTAAATTTAAACAAAACAAAATCAGCGTTTTATCTGCTAAACTGAATGTCAACCACTTTCAAATAAACAACGGTCTGTGCTCAGCTACGATGGTTATACAATGCTTACTGCTACTTCCTGTCTGACAGGAAGTTGTACCCATTATCATTTATACAATAGAGCCTCCAGGAATAAGGTGGGGGGAAAAAATGAAATAGTAAAGCCCAATGAGCATTGTATACAATATTTTGTGCTTGTTGCTGCAGTATCATTCATTCAACCTTTATTTA